TTTTTGTTTGAATATTAGAAATAGATTAGGCATATTCTAGGAGAAAGAGGACCATTTTAGAGATTCTCTTTGCATCTGACATTTTTGTCATTCTTTGTGTTCATGGATTTACACCATTTTCATAGTGTGCTTTTATTATTCCGTCTAACAACTGAACCTAAGTAGACGTGTTCGTGAAAAAAACATTACAAAAATAAAATTGACATGTATTTCCAAGTATTGCTTGTAGATACTCCATTTTTAAAAAATGAGCTACATCATCCTGGACAAAAAAGAAAATTATTTTCATCAGAGAAAATAGAAATAACTAGTATAAAAGATAATAAATATGATAGACCAAGAGCAATACACAAAAGTGACATAGATAAGATGTTGCAGAAAAAGAAATTACTTTCAAGGAGGGAGATATTTCTGATTGGTTGGCAATGTGTACAGATAAAAAATGAAAATTCAAAAATACCCAGTCATCGAATTAAATTAAAACCATTGCAAAATTCAGCACTATCTATCTCCGAAAGAAACGATTCCGATAGCTAACGTCGATTCTATAATAAAAACTCGATTCTCCGCGGGTACGTACAATTCATAATAACTGTTCCACCCCCGCGTAGGGCTGTCGATATCGCATTCTTCAAATCATCGAGCGAATTGCCCCGTTCTCATAAAAATTTGGGTTACCGGACAACGTCGAGCAATAGCCAATACAAAGAGTATCGACAAAACGTGGAGAATTCTTCCACCATCTCGTCTCCTTTTTTTCTTTCTTTTCTCAGTTCCCTTCGGAACCAAGTAAATCCGTTTCGGCCGAGGCGAGAGTGCTTCTCGATGAATATCTCGGCGGCTCGCTATAGCCGCTCGAACTTCCGATTCTTCGTTCGTTAATGTCCTGGGAAATTGCATGTAATCGTTAGGATTTATCTGTAGGCTATAGAAGGAGCTGCTTTCCTCGGAGAAGAGAAGAGGAAGCTCTCGTCCGATGAGCGTGCAGATAATTCGTAGCAATTTATCGGCGTGGCGTGTACCTGGGTATCTAGCAGGCCGCGTTCATAGCTTGTTCATTTTTATTTCGGGCCGCGGTACCCATGGTCATCCACTGCGCAGCTTATCCGACAGCTGTAATGCAAATGAAGTCGATCCTCGAGTCGAATTACGCGAGCATGTTTGCACATTCGACAAGGTACAATTGTTTAGAGGGTACGCGTATTCGAGTATTTTTGTTCAAGATTTAAATACATGTTTTGATATGGAATACAGAGTAATGTTATAGTAGAAGTATCGAACTTTATATGAAAATTGATTTATTGAAATATATATTTAAGAATTACTGGGGTATAGCAAATTTTTGAGAAACGTGTTTCTTTTTTTCAATCTGCATGATATTTAAATATCTCATTTGAAATATAGCAATTAAATTATTCTGCTAGAAGACGTCGTAATCCGCTGAGTGGACGAAGGAATCATTTTCGATGGAAACTGGCTATTTTGTTAAAGAAAATAAAAATTGTAAAAGGTTTTTTAATCTTGTCTTCTTCCTATATGCAGCTCCACTAATGCAACAATACTAATGGTAGATTCTACTGGAGTGTTTATATACAGATGAATCTTATATGAATTTCTTTAGTAAACAGTTGCATGAATTGTTGAAAAACGTTTCACTAGATGTCATTTGTGATTTATGCATCGATACACTATTCCATTTCAGTCTGTAGCTAGACAGTTCTTGAACGAACGATTTTCTAATTGATGGATAGGTCCTGCAGGACCTAACCGAACCTGCTTTCTCTGATTTGTACCCGCGGGAGTTTTATTTGTATTTTCGTGTATTTCAAACACTAGCTTCTTAGATAAACAGGTGACTGTTAATCAGAGTGTAGATTTAATTAACTACTGTATTTCATGGATTGTACATATAAAATTAAGCATTTACAAAAAATGATTCTTTACCTTTAAATTAACATACCATTCTTAACGAGGCAATAGTTCATCACTGACAGGAATCAGTTCGTTATCGGTAATGATTGTTTCCAAAAGTATCTAAAATTTAATTCATTCTGTTGTTTCACGTACTAAAATATTATTCCAATGAAACTGGAAATATTAATTTCCATTTAATTCCCGTGATTATAAATTCTGAAGTAATTGCAAATCTTTCGTTCCACATAATGAAATAATGAAAGCCAAATGAAAATGATGAAAGTTAAATGAAAATGTCGAAATCAGTATGTTTGCTTAACGAAACGAATGGAATGACAAGGTTTCCAATAACCGAGCGAATTGCTTTCCATTAGAAGATCCTTTTCTTAAAACCATTATTGCAGAAGCGAGTCTACTTTTGAAATAGTATCCATCTACACTCTGTCATTACTTCTTTCGTGGTAACACTTTTACAATGAAACGTAGCATTATCGGAAATCCAGTTACCTGATTCGCAGGACGTGTTTCATTCTTAATGTTGCGCAAAGATAGAGTTGCCTCGGTTTAGTTACTGTGCATTTATGGTAATAACCTTTGGTCCCCGCAAAATAGATTTTCGAGGTTAACGTCAAGTACCAACGGACATGAAAGGAAGTTATAAATATAACAGCTGAGCAAAATAGTTTCCTGTAAAACAGTATGCAGCGTTGACGATACTCTGTTATTATCTAGTCCGCATGATTTATCCTAATAGGATGGTTGATGTAACGTTTCTGTTAATAGAACGAAAAAAATGGCAGCAAACATTTTCTCCTTGAGTTAACTGTTTCTCTACTCTGAAAGAGAGGAGTTATTTAGGTGGCCTGCTTTTTCTTCTCGTCTTGAAGAATAGTATAAAATACAATTTTCTAGTTTTTAATTAATAAAGATATACGATTAAATATGAAAACAATTTCGGTGACCTTAAGAGCAAGAAGGTTAGAATGGGATTTTGAGAAAAATAATTTTTATGCCATAAAATCTGCTGTGTGATTAGGTATATTTATTTTTAATTGGCTTGCTGTCTCTTCAGAAAGAAATCTCCTTTACTGTAACTACTACTTTAAATGTTGTAAAATCTGTTTCTACAAATTTAAGTTGAGATTACAGATTACTACTCCATTTGCAATTCTCAATTGCACTCATTAATAACACTTCACCCATCGTATCAGATTTAATAATTTGTTATTATTTATTCATTACAAATCTTTTTCAAGTCGTGCATGTTTCCTGCAAGAGAATATAATACTTAGCTTCAATGAATTATCCGTTTAATTACTCAATCGAATAAAATACATACGAAAACATAAACAACTACACTTCACGCATTGTCTAAAATTTAATATTTTATTATTATTCATTCCTGACCTTTCTCTAAATATAAATATTCCCTGCAAAACAATACAATAAGTAAGGTCAAAGTTACATTATAGAAGACGACATTACATACATAATGTTTAAAGTAAACGTCACGAATAAACTACAATACTCGACACAACACGACGTTTGTGTGTTGCTCCGTTATCAATGGAAATCCGTTCCCGCGACGCGTCGTTGATTCTGCGCTCAGGAAACAGCGTGATTTAGTCCAAGAAAGGGACGCCTTGCCTTTGTCGAGAATCATTTCACCGATTCTGGTCGACAAAGGGCCGATTACACGATTCCGGGGCGTGTACGATGATCGCAGGGTAAACACGCGTCACGTAAACCACGCGGAACAAAAGGTTCGAGGTTCGAGGATCGAGGATCGAGGATCCCAGATGTGTTCCTAGGCAGTGTTCGAGACCAGCTCGCAAATCGGTGCTCATTGTTCCGTAAAACAGTCTAGCAGCTTCGAAGCCAATTGGAAAAATCGAACGGTTGTTAAACCGTGAAAACGATTTTAACCGGGAAATCTACATGATCACGAACTTTTCGCTAAAACAAGGACACCGAAATGTGCCACAGTGAAATACTGGGGGTGATTTCAGAGGAAAGTTTGAATTCGGTAAACATAGACCGAGTGTTTGTTCTCGACGTGCCTGGAAAATTGCAATGGTTAATTAGAATCATTTTTAATTAACTTGGGTTCTGCTTTGGTTACGCAGCAGTGAAACTTTTCATGGGATTGGTTGATACGTGGGGGGTTTATAAATTTGATTTCAATATATTTATTTGAGTTTAACATTTCATATTCTTGCCTCTGGTGATGAAATTTTACAATGTTCTATTCTAGATTCAATTTAGTGGAGTTTGTAATATTTTATTCAAGATTCTCTGAATTAAAGATTACGATTTCATGTTCCAATATCTTCAATGAAGATTTCAATTTAAGATCTTCAATTTAAGAAGATATTAATTTTGCTTATTAAAATTGAAAATTTTATATTCCAGTCTGTATTAATTTTGTATTCTAGTACATGTTTATTGACGCTTATATCGTACTCTAAGCTCTGTTTATTTAAATTTGGAATTTCATGTTTCATGGAGACATATCTCCATCTACTAAAGTTTACAATTTCATACACTAGTTTTTCGAACAAAATTGCAATGCTTTAAACACAATTCTTCCAATGCTTTCAAAGAGTATGATTTCATTTAATCATTTTATTTCATTCTATCAAAATTAAATACTACTTCAAACCCATTCACTGACAACTACGAGATGTCTCGTAGTTCGAATTGATTCCATTTGCTCAAGGGATAAGTTTATATCCTTCCGAGTCGCGAATTATTGCAAAATCGGATCGTAAATTTTTATTTTAAAACAACAAATTTCACATCACTTTTTGATATCAAAATAACAATCTAGATTACACATCTGTGTTAAATCTTGACATCCAAGGCAAAACGCTTTAAATTTGCCTGGCAGTGAACGGGTCAAATTCAACAAAAGTAAGTTTCAATTGCATAGAACCAAAGCGTTACCCTCGTCTAATTTTTCACGAGTATCGATCTGACAGCCAATGATCGTGCGTATACCGCGAACGAGAAAGCCACGCTCGAAGAGAGGCGGCTAGTTTCGATTCCCGAAACGCAACCCTGCAATATCCTGGATAAATGTCCAGGTGAGAGTCTTCCACGAAGCAAGGACCAATGCTCTAGGCTCACGGAAAAGCGGTCGAGCGCCGCAGCCGCCTACGCTGCCCTGCGGGGCAGCGAAGACGAGCTCGTCGCCGAGCACTGCCTCGGGTCGGAGGACATGGCCCTGAAGACGCCAGGCAGCGAGACAGAGGACACGGAGGACAACGGCGCCCAAATGGACGATGAGCCGTCCCCTACGCGTCGTTTCACCTTCCTCAGGCGTTTCCGTTCGCCGCGATTCGGCGAGGCGCACCACAAGAGGGTGCCCACACCGATGAAGAGGAAGTACCGCCGCAAGAAGAGCAAGGACGACATCATCGACAGCGACATGAACGCCACCGAAGTCGAGCCGCCTAGTCTGACCCAAGCTGGCGTGCCCGATCCCTATTACCCGATCTACCTGCCCATCGACCAGGCCTTCAAGGCTAAGTACGTGTTCTGTCATAAAAAGGGGAAGACGTTCCAGGAGAGGCTGTACGTGTTCCTCGAGCACCCAGACGGTTGGATCTGCTTCGTCTATCATTTCACTGTGTGAGTATTCGACATCCCAGTTTTTCTCTAGACGCGAAACCCTGCGCTACGTCCAGGGTGAAATATCGTCGGACGGTTAGAGACGTTTTTGCGCTCGTAGATCATTTGGCCGCAGAAAGACGTGTTACGGGGTACTAGACAGAATCGAAATGTTTGAACGAATGCCGCGATTCATCGCGAAAACATCTTGATCCTTTTCTTGCCGAGGGGAAACCGCGGCATCGACGATTGATTTTTCGATGACACTCCATTTATCGAAAACCATGACTCTCGTCTTCGGGGCGGAGCGTGGTTTTGCAGAGATGCGTGTCCAAGTGGGGATGCTTGCTCTCTGACAGGAATTTGCATTATACTTGGGTATTTTTGCTCATTCTTACTCTTGCTTCAAGCGAGAGGATAACACAATTAATTTAAAAATATTGACCTTCTAACGAAAATGTGATATTGGAAATTCGCTACGTACAATCTACAAATTTCAACATTATAGGCATAAAGTCGTATTTTCTATTAAACAAAGCAGCACACCAAAAAAAAAGAAATCAACGAAACTTCAGGAATCGAACGTTCGAATCCAGCTGAATGCTTCCCGATTTGTTTGAACATATCGACTATTTAAATCCGGTTTATCCAAAAAGCACTCGTCGAAACACTATGCTCTTCCTCGTCAAAGAGGTATTCAGAGCAGATTATTTTGCGCGAAAGAGGATATGTAACATGCATAATGTCGAATAACGTTTAATGGAGCAATTTGGTCCATTATCTGTCGATTCGCCGTGGTGATTATATTACGGTATCGAGTGGCATTCAAAATCGACGTTTCGTATGATGCATAGTTTGTGAAATTGATTCGTTTCGTACCAACGCGAGGACTCTCTGTGGAAGAGGAGCGCCAGAAGGTTTCTCTTCCTGGACGCTCTCCAACGTTCAAGCGATTGGTGACGTATCGACAGGTTCGTTACTTTGACGGTCACTGATGTTCGACACTAAGCTTTCCATGTTGAGCTCTGACCGGCATAAACGAACAACGTTATTTCTTTAATCATACACAAAATTCAGCGCTACGGGATAAGTACTGCAAAATGGTGCGAACAAAGGGGTTCGCAGCTCAAATTATATTATTAAATACGTAGACAACGTTTAGCCATATAATAGTCATTAAAAAATATGATGCTGTTTCCAATCACTCAGAAAATCAAGGAAAATGGAGACACTGCTTTAAGATTATCTTATATAATTAATTAAGCTTTATTGTAAGAGTAGAAATATTTTATTTTATGCTGAGAGTGAACATTAACAAATTTTTACCAAATGGTAATAATATATATAAAGTCGGTTCCATAAGTATTCGTTTCTTCTACGTTTGTTGAAGACATTTGTCTAAATTAAACGATGGATTTGATGTTTCCAAAACTTCGTTTATTCATGTACATATTTATACAAAAATATTTATGTGGAAACATCAAACTTATCATTTAATTTAGACAAATTTCTTTAAAAGATATAGAGGTTACGAATACTTACAGAGCTGACTGTATAATATAATAAGTAATTTTATAATTGTAAATAACAGAAACTATATAGGAAAACATAAGTTGTCCAAAGTACACGAATAAAATTAACCCGTTTTGTGATTCTACCGTAATTGAAAACTAGAAGGAGATAGCGAGAAACCATATGAAGAGCTTTCGAAGCATCAACGCGCCCAGTTCGACGATTCGCACGGTGGCTGGCATACATTGACGGCATTAGCATACCGTAGCGGCTGCTTTCAGCACAAGCAATAAAGTATTCAGCTGCGAGAGACGCGCGTTCGCGACAAAAGCTGTGCACGACTCGTAGCGCTAAACGCGATAGAGTGAAAATCCAAGTACAAAACGGGCTGAAGGAAATAGAGGGAACAGTGGTCGGTTGTCGCGAGTCTTTTCTATCGAGATTCCCAGAGGTATCCGAGTAACACCTTTCCGGCACGCTTTGTCGCGCACACGAAACGGCAGAATCGACGGACAATGAGACACGCGAGATATTTGCTTCCCGCGCGGAAAGATTGCCGTCAAAAGAAAACCGAGCCGACGCGCATTCACACGATACAGAGTGGTTCGATTCACCTGTCGTGATGGGGAAATGTTATTGTTCTATTCTCGGCGGGGGTCGTTTGTGTCGTGTCAACCGTATCGTGGGTGGTGAGTATCTAGAGCATTGGGGATGATTTGGCAATACTTGGAAAAGAAATCTGATGGCAGTGAGGTTTGGAAGTATGAAACAAATGAGATTGGACTGGATGATGAAACAGTAGAAAAGTCTGGTATCAAAAGTAACAAAATACCTATTTTTTGTTGTTGTCTTGAATGTACATTGCAAAATTTTGACAGAAATGTTTTTAGCACGTTTGGACGTTGTAGTTGCTACCTACATTTTTGTTTTACGAATATAAAATAAATGAGATTGGACAGGTTGAAGAAACGGTGGAGAAGTCTGGTATCAAAAGTAACAAAATACCTATTTTTTTTTGTCTTAAATGTACATTGCAAAATTTTTACAGAAATGTTTTTAGCGCGTTTGGACATTGTAGTTGCTACCTACATTTTTGTTTCACTAATATAACAACGACCTGGTGAGATATTCAAATTAATTCCTCTCTTTATAATATCTTACAATTGACACCCTATTTGTTATATTTGTGAAACTAAAATGTAAAACTTTTTTGAGAGGCTCTTCCTAAATAAACCGTTAGATAAAATATTAAGCGAAATTGACAAAAAGAAGAGACGACACATCGAGGGTTCTCCGTTTGTATCTTCCACGCGGAAAGTCTACTATTCGTCAATTCATATCTTGAAGAACTATCTTTGATTCGCATGCGATTACCACCTGTATAAGTATGAAAATACTCTCGCGTCGCTGCATTATTCAACGCGGCTGTTTTTCATTTTCCCGAAGTCACCGTGAAGTACCGCAACCCTTTAAATAATTCATTATGAAAACAAAGTGCCAGTCCAACGGCTCCGAAGTCGATCGATCGAACGAACGTGGGTGCATTTTTTTTTTCTTTAAAAACGCTGCTCGTCCTATCGTTTCTTGCATGATTTATTGGTAGCATCAGAATTTTTGACGTAGTTTGATAAGCTAGCACCGTTACATCCAAGATTACCCTTAACCCCTAAAACAACATTCACTTCATCAGGTGACACTTGTGGTACGAAATTGGGGTTGAATATGAAAAACACGAGTCACACACGTCGTGTGCAAGTACTGAAATTTAACTTTAGATCCTTTCACTTTCAAAATATGCTGATTAGAATATAATAGATAGAATTGGGGACTTGGCATGATGCACACATTTGATTTGGTTCCCTATTTAGCAGATAAATTGTAAAGAAATTAGATAACCCTTTTACAGTTGACTATTTTACTTAAATAAGTCTTAAGCCCTTGTCATACTTTGACCATTCTTACTCGTCAAAATTGTATACCAAATTTGTTAGGTAGACTAGAGCAGTTTCGACTCATCTAGCTGAACAGTACTGATTACATGGTACGTCTGATTAATTCGCGCGTATTCTCCTCGTCTCTGACTTATACGTTTCAAATATTTACAGCGGTGTCAAAGGCTGTATGCATTCATCTTGCAGAGTTGTATAAGCTGAAAACCTAATGAAATGTTGACGATCATGTTTGTTAATCTCGTCGGGCTAAGTGGTATAGCAGGAAGTTAAGTTGGAGCTTTCGAAATACCTCGCTCGTCGCTAGTGTGATAACAGCGATAATCTTAGGAACGAAACAGAGAAGATCTAACGATCGCCACGCCTTTGATAAGTTCGAAGTTGCCACTTTTCTCCTGTTATTACGTGTAATCCTCCCGACTAGCCAGCATCGACCAGCCTTTCTAATAATAAACTACGCTATCGAAGTTTTGGTGACGCGGAACGTCACGATCGGAAATTGCCACGGAAATGTCTTTCATTCTCCGCTGGATGCTACCGTCGCTGTGTCGAACGCGCCATTCATTTCCGGATACGTGTATCTATTTTTCACTCGCGGCGAATGTAACCCAGACCGCATAATTTATCTGACTTTCTTCGTCTGTCGGCGCCTGTACCATTTTCTGAGTTCGCGTTAAACATTTTCTTGAAGGTCGTTTCCTCTCAAACATTCCAACTTCTATAGTAAGAAGCAATCAGTATTTAGAATTTAAAGTGGCGTGAATTCGCGTCAGCGGTCGCGAATGCGTTAATACAATTGTATGATTCGTGTTTGGTGAATCGTAAAATTCTATGCTTATTTCTTTCAAGTATAATAACTACGTACCTTCCGACGTTTCGTGTTATTCCAGACCAGTATCTTTCAAACTATCGCGATATTCTTCACAGTATGAATTTCTTTTTTACGTTCGCTTTACCGTTGCCTTATTGGCAAGTTCCCCTGTGGTAGACCTGTCCGTGAATGATTGGTAGCCGTGTTTCTTTTTGCGGATATCTCGATTTATGTCCCGATGAATCAGAAGGGGAAACATTCCTTCTCCTCCTCTATCTATTGTCACGAGATTTCAGGTCATCCAACTAACTATAAAAATCCTTCGTTGGTCGGATCGAGCAACCATCTCATCTTCGACTATCCAAGAATCTCAGGGTATACTTGTTCCTCAGTCGTAAACATGATGTTTTACAGATCCTAGGGTTTGCCTGGCTTTCTCGTAACTGGGATGTAATAAAATGTAGAACTGTCTAGTTCTTACACTGTAACTTATACTGTCGCATTTATTTGGTTATTAATATCTTCATTGTATCCGAAGCAATCGTATCTCACTTATTTTCTAATTCCTCAAGATAAATGTTCTACAGACGTTGAACATTTTCTCCAAAATTTTCTGACGAAATGATATTATGATTTCTCTGTGAAATTCTATATGCCACTCAATATTTTAAGAACATGTGTACGTGGAACCTTTCTCTAATAGAAGTTTGGCAAATAGGAAAACATTGAAAAGAATGCAACGCCTGCGG